ACAGGTAGATATGCCTATTATAGGGGAGACTCTGGCAAATTTTTGGAAATTTAGGGAGTTAGTCAAAATTTGGAACTACTGGTGTGTGAAGTAATAGTTAAGTCACATTAGATGCTAATGGCAGATTTTGATCCTCATTCGAGGATGAATGATCCTAAGCGGGAGAGGATGTAAGGCCCCATAAAATTTTACCTAGAACCCGGGGTTTCGTGGTGCCGAGGCAAGCTAATGTGATTTTGAGGATTGTAATACAAAGTTTTTGGGTTGTACAATGCGTAGGGGAGTTGGAGGAAAAATTATTGTAGAACATTGTGTTTCTGCGATCTAGTATGTGACCACAGAATTACTCCGCAGACCGCAGATCTGTCGTGTAGTGGTGCAGAAAAAGGGACAAATATTGAAGGACATTTTGCAGTCAATTATGCGACCGCATAATTATTTCGCGGGCCGCACAATTTGTCACAGATCCAGCATGAGGAATTTCGATGGGAGTTTCTGTGGTGCGTTATGAGACTGCATAACTATTCTGCATGTCGCAAAACGGCCACAGACTTGGGCAGGCCAACCCAGTTTTTGGGACCGTTTTTACGTCCATTTTGCAAGCTACAGACCTGATCTGCGGTGCACTCTGCAACCGTAGAGTTGAGTTCGGAGGGTCCATTTTTTGATTTTACATCCCGACCCCATTTTGATTGAAAGCCATTGAGGCTCGTATAGAAGGCAAAAATCTAGTGTTTAGAGAGAAAGGAAGGGAGCAAGAGAGATGAGGAAGGGCACCCAACATCTCCATATATCAAATCCTTGCTCAAGCCTTAAAATCCAACAAGGAAAGCTCACAAGGCCTTCTTCTAGGAGGTAAGATTCTACTCCCTAGCCCTCAATTTTGGGATTGGACTAAAAGTAGGTAATGAGAAAGAGTGGTTCTTAGGTGTATGAGTTGTCCCTTTTGCATGCATGTAACAACAAGAGTTGTGGGGAGGTTGTTGAACTCAAATGGGTGAACATTGGGATGTGAGATGAAGGAAAAACCACCATAAAAGAACCTTGAAATCATATTGCACACCTAGTGCTTGATAGAATGCTTAAATGAGCTTAACCCATGAATCTTTTCCTTATTATGGTTCAACTTTGTCATGTCTCTAATAGATTGAAGTCGCTAGGATTTCTGAAATGTAATAGTAAATTAAGGAAAGCTCAAGCGAAGTATGTTGGCTAAACTTCTCTTTTAGAATTGACTCCCATGATGTTCTCGCAAGTCTCAAGTGTGATTGGCCCATGATTTTTATTCCTCGCCTCATGAGTTATTCCTAATAAATTCGATTATTCAAAAAAGCATGGTATCAGAAAATATATGTTTAAAATGTGTTTCAATTGCTCATATCACATTATGCTCTCCTTCAGAAATGTGTTCAAGTATGGTTTGTGTATTAAACTGTTTTGACTTTAATTCGTGTTTCAAACGAAAGTTATTATGCTAAATTATGGAAGAAAACTCAATGTGCTTAAGACTCATGATTGCTCATAAGCATATTTAAGGTCTTGGTTCCAGATGCTCTTGTTGTCAATAATCTATGATGATGCTTGAAAGTGAAGGAAGTAAATATGAGATATGACATACAACCATCGTGCCAAGAATGGAAACTACATTTGTGGCCAATAGTGCCAATGGAATGGAAAGAAGTGTGGAAATTATGAAATATGTTGAAACTCCTTTTTATAGTAAATGTTTTAGTAGTATCGTTTAGTCACCGAGGAAGGGTAGGTTTAAATAACATAACCCCGAAACTCCACATGCCGGTGTAGGAGTGATTAAAGGGTAAATTCCCCCATTGATGTGTTGAGATTGTTCCCCTTAAATGGGATGAGATTGATGTGTTGAGATTATTCTCTCTTAATTTGGATGAGATGATTGCTAGCGAAATGTGATATGATGTCGACCCACACGACATTGTGGTGAGACGGCTTAGCCGATTCGGCTAAGTTCGGATGCTATGTTGCGCTCATGGTGGTATTGTGATTTGATGTCTTGAGTGAGACGGCTTAGTCGAATGGGCTATGATCGGGCTCCGTTCTAATAACATGGTAGTATATTAGTACTAAAGACCTCCCAACTTTAAAATATTGAAATTTATCTTTCTCTTAACTTGACACTTTAATATTGTTTGAGGCTCTCATTAATTCCATATTTCTTTCTCATTGCACTATTACTCGTTCTATTGAGAGGGTATTTAGTCTTACATACTAGTACTATTCCCTATATACTAATATCCCTTTTGCCGGGGCCGCTTCATCTTTAATGGTGCAAGTGGTCTACAACAGGCGGTATCTATCAGTGGTAGCAGTACACCCTCTTCTCAGATGACTTGGTGAGCCCCACTTCTTTTTGATGTATTGTATCTTTTGTCCTCTATGTATAGTGTTTTGAGGTATAGCCGGAGCTTTGTTGCCGGCAACATCATACTACTCTTTTGTATCCATTAGAGGCTCCATAGACGTAGTGTGGTTTGTTTCTTGGTTTTGGAAAAGTTAAACTAAAGGTGTTATATTTGCATCACTCATTTCCTCTTCTAAACTATTAATGTAATGTAATATTTTGGGAACTCTTGATTGAAGTTCTAATGGTAATGAAATTGTTGTTGTCCATATAATATTCTCATTGTCTAATTAATGGAATATATCTTAACTTTATTCTTGGGTAAGATCAGGTAGATAACATAAAATAGGCTTGCTTGACCGGGGTATCTCGGTTGAGCGTCGGTCGCGCTCCCCGAGGTTGGGGTGTGATAAGCTTGGTACTAAAGCCTAAGGTTTTAAAGTATCCTAGGATGTCTCGGAGCCGTGTCTAGTAGAGTCCTTCTTACCGGTGTGTTGTCGACCACATCTACATTTAGGAGGCTACTTGGAAATTTAGGAATGCCACCTTTCTTTGATGTTCTAGATCATGCGATAGCACTGATTGTAAGATTGTTCCTCTTTTAACTCATGCATTGCTCTGATTTTTAGTACATGGCGCCTAGGAAGAAGGCAAGAACTGGCCAAAAAGGCAAAACCACCCCAGGAGTGGGTGTTGATTCCATACCTGATGATGCGGGCGAGCATCCAAGGGGTGAGGGTATTCCCCCGACTACTACACCACATGATTCTACTATTCTTGCTTAGACAACACCAATCCCTACTTCCATCGAGGGTGCATCTATTCCACCTCCAACAGATACTCTGATTCCACCACCAGTTCCAACATTTCTGATGGGGACCCTAGAGGAGCCATATAGATGTTGGCTCAGATAGTGGATTCTCAAGTCCAGATACCTACTTCTTCCAACCAGCTAGGAGATTCTATTAGCTCCAGGGTGAATAGGTTTCTACAGTTAGATCCTCCAGTATTAGCGGGCACTGATCCCGAGGAGGATCCCAAGGACTTTATTGATGAGATGCACAAGACTTTTCGAGTTATGCGTGCTACTAAGACGCAGGCAGTTGAGTTGGCCTCCTACCGCCTGAAGGAGGTGGCATATTCTTGGTTTGAGCTGTGGGAGGAGTCCCATGAGGATGGGAGCCCTCCGGCAAGGTAGAGTGAGTTTGCCGACGCCTTCATTATACTAGTCCACATTCTGCTATACAAACTTCTCCTTTTCAACTCCTCTATGGTTATCCTCATCCTTTGCATTTGTCTTATTTACCAGGTGACTCAGATGTTGCTTCTATTAAAGACATCTCCTTTTTGCGTGAATTCAAACTTCAACTGGCAAAGTTTCACCTCACTCGAGCTCAACAGAGAATACAGTCTCAGGCCAATGCTCATAGGTCTGATAGACATTTCCAAGTAGGTGACTGGGTCTATGTGAAGTTTCGACCCTATCGACAATCTTCCTTGTCCACCTTCCCTTACAATAAACTTACATCTCGCTACTTTGGACCATATCCTATTGTTGAAAAGATTAGTGTCGTTGCCTACAAGTTGTTCTTGCCTCCTGAAGTTCTGATCTATCCTACTTTTCACATCTCCCAACTCAAATTCTGTCATGAAATATCTGCTGAGATAGTGCATCCTCCTGTGGTTAATTTGGCCAGTTTGTTTTTGCCTCACTCCTGAGCAAGTCCTTGAGAGGGAGTTGATCAAGAAAGGCAATAAGGCTATTGCCAGTGCCTTGTGAAATGGACAGGTTTGGATGCATCCTATACCACTTGGGAGCTTGCGTCTGCACTTAAGGCTCACTTTCCTTCCTTCATCCTTGAGGACAAGGGTGTTCTTCAACCAAGGGTATTGATACACAAATTGACAATTAGAATTTTGAAAGTTAGTTAAATGTCTTGGCGGGAAAAGTAGTTATCACCTGAGTCACACTCTCTACATTTCATCATTTACCTTTTGTATTTTCTTTAGCATGCTTTAGTCTTATAAATAGCAACATTCAAAATGTAGACTATTTCCAATATTATATTGGATGTGAGTCCTCTTTTCCCTCTTCTCTCTCTCAATTCTGCCTTTCTCTTCTTCTTATTTCTTTCTCCTCTTATTTTGCTCGATTGCACTGTTACGTTGGCTTGGTTCCTAGATTTTGGTATCAGTGATGGACTATCTCACCAAGTGGAGATAATTTTGAGAATTTTCTATGTGGGTACAACTTCTACTGAACTTGCTGGGTATTATTATTAACTAATTTTTCTTATAGAAGACTTCAATATCTCCAGTAAGAAAACGTAGCTTAGGAACAAGATTGGTAGGTGGGTGTAGAAATTCTTGATTTTCTACTTTCTGGTGGCGGATGAGCGGCGGCGATAGAGACACGATGCTGGTGCAGTGTCCTTTAAAAAAGTGGGGTTTTTAATTAAAAAATAATACTATGATTTTAGACCCATTCACACACTTATGACTTAACAGTAGTGAAAGGCACCTTTTTTTGCCCTTATAACTTTATTGTGTTTAATAGGCACATAAGAAATGAAACTGAAATGTCATACTGATCCTAGTTGAAATGCTAAAACGAAAATTTGAGGTGTCTATGTATAGTGGAAATAAAAAGATTATTTAATAGGTCATATGTGTGAAGTCGTAGCACCCCGCATTAGAATGGACATGTACGCAATATGGTAAAAGCAAACGCAGTCCTCTTTATTCATCTCCCTCTCCATAACTTCATTCTTATCGAGACAGGAAAAACCAAGACACTTTTTCCGTATCTCTTATAACTATTCTCGACAGATCACTGCATCTATCTCTTCAGATAAATTAAATGGGGACTGGTTCATCCAAGAACCCGGATACCAGCTCCCATGGCAGCAAGGATGACCAAGGCGGAGGACAACTCTACGTCTCTCTCAAAATGGAAAATTTCAAGCTCAAAGGCGAACTCGTCCCTCACATCTATGGCTCTGTCCCTCTCATTGGCTCTTGGGATTCTTCCAAAGCTGTAATTCATCTCCTACCTCATTTCTATGTTTCTATCTTCTTTCTTATAGCTAATTATGCAATTCAAAATTTAATCATCAGCTTCCTTTGGAACGGGAATCAACTTCTATGTGGGAATTGAGTTTCGTGGTTCCTCCTAATCACGGTTCGCTCCTCTTTGCATTTTATTGTTTCGCATTTCCTCTAAGTTGTTGAATTCGTGGAATCAAATCAATTTATATTTTTTGGTTTGAGAATTATGTAGAGACATTAGACTTCAATTTCCTCTTGAAGCCAAAATACAATAACGCCCCCTGTACAGTGGAGGAAGGTCCCACTCGTCATCTAACTGGTGGAACATTGCAAGGAGATGTGCGTTCAGCAATTTTTAGGTTGGATGACGAGGAGATTATTGAATATAGAGTGTTCATTAAAGCAGATAGAGTTTCACCATTTGATCTTGCAGCAAGCTGGAGAGCCTTTCAGGAATACCGTAAGCCTTCTACTGTTCGAGGTATACCAGATGTTAGTATGAACTCTACAGCCGATACGGGCCCCGAGGTAAGTTGAGGTGCATTACCCATGCTTCTTTCTTAACCTTTTAAGCTAGAAGCCTTTGGATAGTCTCTCCATCAATGAATATTTAAATAGTCTCGTTGGAATTTAGGTGTTTTTTGCTTTATCATACTACCATGCTTTGATTTGAGGTTGGTAAACTGCAGTATTGCAAAAACTAAAGGTAGTTGATGACTAACCAAGTCAATTATGCTACTTATCACGACAAAAAAAGCAACTCGACTACGCTTTATGCACATATTTGAAGGCATGTAAATAGAATGATTTTAGCTATAACTAGTCAAATATAGTGTTTGGTCTTGGGATTAAAACTGTTATAACCATCAGTGCTCATAAGTGCTATCATTTTCTGTTCTTGACTGTCATGGAGTTGTTCACCTTTCTTGCTTCAAAAATGGTAAATCATGAATATTGCTTAGGAGGCTTGTTATCTGTTAATCGTTAACAGGGTGATATGAGTTCCACGTAACTTCATGACATTCCATCACATTTTAAACATTCTTTCTGGGCAGAATGGCTCATCAGCGAGTCTAGAGCTCGATCTAGAACACTATGTTGTCCCTGCTCCAGCAACCTCTGCTTTGGTTTATGCGGCTAACTTGACAGCAACTCCTAGGTCACTAAATCGCACCAAGGTATTTTCAGGGACTGATGGATCTACCAGCATGTCCAGTCCCTCAAAAGATGGTCATGCTCCAAATGATCGACCTGCTGCAGTAAAGGTTTTCTTGTTGCCTTTGTTTCTTATTTGTGATTTCATTTGATTGTAAGACTTGAGATTCTGTTCTTTGCACTCCATGCTTATTACACGGAATATACTCCATAACATAGTTACATATTGATATTAAGAGGTTTACTAATAGTCCTGAATTCTCTTTCTGGCATTCTATAATTAGCAGTCATTACTATTACTGTGAGTTTGGTCTAGGATTTAGTTTGTATGGGATAGTGATCATCATTGTCTCCCAGAAGATATTCAATGGCAGTCTAGCTAATCATCTTATCCCACCAAAATTCTTGTATGAAGAAAAGTTAAACCATTTATGCGTGTACAATTTCATGACCAATTATACATGCACATTTTAGTTTTTTGCCATTGTTTTGAATTAAAGGGACTGCATTGGCTGCCTGACATCCATCTGCGTGCTCAATGTCTAGGCAACTTAGTTTGCTTACCTTTTGGTCTTCTTTGTTCCGTCTATGTTATCATTTGACTTCAACATTATAGCTTGTTGTTTGAGAAGTCATGTTAGTTTTGAATTCTGCTGTCTTGGTATCATTCAGGATATGGAAGTAATAATCCCAGATCCAGCTAGAGTTCCTTCAAGTTCTGGCGTGGTTGAATCCAAGTCTATGGTAAATTCTTCATCATTGCAAAAGCAAGATAGCCACAGGGGACTCCTTGTAGATAGGGGTGTGGGGTCTCCTAGACTAGTTAAATCACCCAGTACAAGCACCTTCACTCTTGATACGAAGCCTGACTCAGATACCAAGGTCTGTAGCTATCTAATAAAGAACAGCAATGAATAGTGTCATAAAATGTCATTCTAGATATGTTACTTTTACACATCTGATCTATTATTCACTGTTAATTCTTAGAATATGATGCCGGCAGCTGCAGGAGCTGTTGCAGCTGCAGCTATATCCGATCAAATGCTTGGACCAAAGGAAGACAGACATCTTGCAATCGTCCTGGTATCCATTTTGTCAGCTTTGGTTCCCAATGCTTGTGCTTTTATTTTACATTTTCTTTGTGGAACTATACCGTATATAATAGCTGTCCTGTGCAACTCTAGTAGAGGAGTAAGCAGTATCTTAAGACTTGTATTCATGCAGGTAGGCTTGCCGGCTCGTGGCAAAACTTTTACTGCTGCTAAACTTACTAGGTATCTTCGATGGTTAGGTCATGACACCAAGCACTTTAATGTTGGGAAGGTAAGTCATGATTTAAGATATTCTGCAATCTCTCGCGAATTTGTAAAAAAAGTAACAATCTCTTCCTTTTGTGTGACAGTATCGGAGACTAAAGCACGGAACTAATCAGGTAGTTTTATTATCTGAATTGAACTTTTTCTCCTAATTTATGGTGTTAAAAGTTACAGTTCGTCATTTGGTAGGACCCCATATGCAGAATAAACTAAAGAAAAAACAGACTCTGCACGACTCTCAACAATACGCGAAAAGGTGGCTCGGGTATATTTCCTGTGTTTGCCGGAAAAAGACCTCCGGTTAACTGATTTTTCTTCCCGGAGTCGTTGGAATTTATGCACAGCGATAAATCTGTCACGATTGCTCTGATACCATGTGAGAAAGAACGGGAGAAAATAATATTATTGATTAATTAATTAAAGTGTCGTACAACCCTATTTATATACAGTGAGTACATAATAATATTTATCTACTTCCCGATGTGGGACACTTATACACGACTAACTACTTAATATAGACAAACTAGATAAACTAGGCACCATCTTTTGAAGCTCCGATAAACTCGGATGTCCTAAACGTTTGTGAATTTGGTCTGGAGGATCTGTAACTGGACATGCTGGGGAAGGATTGAGTGAGTCAATGTAGTAAAGGCCTTGTGATTCACGTCATGTGCCAATTAAACCTAGAAAGTCGCCAAAATTTGACGCACGCCAGCTGTTTGACTTTCTCGGATTGTCTCACTCACGCTCTAAGAGAAGTAGTACACGGAAAATTATATTATTGATGTTATATTAACTATAACAAGAACCCCTATTATTACCTATCAAAAAAAAAAACAAGAACCCCTATTTATAACAATACACAATAGCTACTCTCTACTCTTATTCCATGTGGGACCTACGTTGTCGGATCCTCTAAAAGTAGTGTGTTTTTAAAGGATCTGACACAGGTGTGGCAATATTTTGTGAGAGTCCGCGCAACATTGTGGGACTGCACTTTTTTACGTAACTATCTAACATGAAGTGAGTCCATAAGTTGTGGAGATCACGTATTGAAACTTCTTCCCCTCGGAAGTTTGTATATGTATTAATCAAAACTAACCTTGTGAACATTTGTTTTTTTTTGTACATCCTTTTGACGCAGTCTGCTGATTTCTTCCGGGGTGACAATCCAGAAGGCATGGAGGCGCGTAATGAGGTAATGTCTCTAAGATACAATCTTTTTAGTTTTCTCCCACAAAAAAGATTCATGCTTAATTATGTATTTATTTTCATCTACTAGAAGCCTGAAATCATCTTAAAGGGTTGCCACTCTAGCTTGCCAGTGAACTGGAATAGTTGATGGAATCATCTTCTGGCATATAGTATGCAGAAGAATTGCCCTTTTCTTCTCCATCATTAATCAGCTTCCATTAATTGGATAGAAAAAGTGTTGCTGGTTTATCGGTATCGCGTTATTGGTTTAATGGTTTGAAAATGGTTTTGTATTTTATGCTATTGGCTTATCAGTTCAGTTAACGTTTTTTTTTTTAAATTTCCTTAATGGTTTAACCGGTAACTCAATAAGGTATGTTAAATTTACCCTTTTACCCTGGTTATCCACTTAGGGCATTTTGCAAAAGCTTTGGCGGAAAAGGTGAGATTATGGATATGTTTTGTGTAGAATTTCGTAGACTTTGGCAAAACTAGTGACTGCTAAATGGAGCTGTGTTGAACTTGTAATCCTTTTCATTATTTAGTTGGAAGTATGCTTTTCTCCATATTAGAAGGATAATGAATTAGTATCTTGAATCTTCTGAACATGGTGTTTTGGACCTTTGACTAGCTTTACTTAATTGTTCTTCAGCGTGTACTGTTGTTCCCTGTGTGTATTGCACTGTCACTGGATGCTGCTGTTCTTGTTTCGTTATGATCTAACTTTCCAACTCATGGCATGTTGCTCTCTTAATGCCGTTTCTCCTTTTGGGGTGTAGATAACGCGGATACATTCTTAACAATATTTGTCTTTGTTTCTTTTCGTGGTCCGTATAAAAGTTACTTTTAGATATTGTCCTACAGTGCAGGTCTTGATGATACCAATATAACATGCGGCACTTCAAATAGGGGTGTAATATATTCTATTGCAGGCGTTTAAAAAATATAAGCTTCCAGCCCATTTGGGTTAACCCAATAACCGAACCATTAACGACCACTACCGACAACCGATATCTTATTGGTTTGGTTATTGATTTAGTATGTTTATAAACCGATAACCCATAAACCGAACCGATAACATTCAAAACTAAACCGACGATAAGCAGTCCTACTATTATTTTGTACCATTTGTCCAATTGTCTTGCTTTTGGGATATTTGGGTTGGTGTTATATTTATGTTGTAAGGTTTTTAAAAAGGAATATATTTCATTTAAACTCATCGGAGTTATTTTTCTAGAGTTACATTTGATATGAATAGCCATAGGCCTTTAGATTTATAGCTTCTGTTAATACCTGGAGAAATATCGGTTTCACTCGGTACCTTCAATTTCTGTTCTTGTGCTTGTAGCCATGTTAAGAGTTTGTAATCCGACCAACCTTCCAAGGCTGATATTTGGAAAGTATATTTTAGCTTATTACCAACATTTATTATGGTTACGTTATACTCAGTTTATTCATTGAATTAACTTTTTCTGTTGCAAATAGTTTTAATCAATCACATGCTACTAGGTAGCAGCCCTTGCAATGGAAGACATGATAGTATGGATGCAAGAAGGAGGTCAGGTAAGTCTTATATGATTTTTGTGGAACACCATTTTCTTCTAATTTGTCAATGTTTATATCGGTTGAAATGCAATGATGTACTTTCAAGGTTTTACACCTCTCAAGCATAAAGAAGAGAGAAAACGGAAGTGCCCCCTAAAGTTTTTCATAAAACTAGTGAAAGCGTTCTTCAAACTCACGCGAGAAGAATGTAAGATGAAAAGAACCTTACCCACTCATTCTTCAATCCCGTAAGATTGCAAGAAGTGTTGAATAAAGGAAGAAGAAATAAATAAACGAGCACACATTTTTGATGCAAGAGCTTAGAAAAACTAATCACCAATGTTTATTTTCAGCATATTGAGCCCTTTAAATAGGCTTTACAATGAGTAAAACAGATAAGGTTAAGGAAAACTAATCCTAATTAAATAGGAATAAGAATAAGGCTAAGAAAAACCTATCCTAACTAAATAGGAAAAAGAACTCTAGTATGAATGGAATACCAATGAACAATCCTAGTTTGACTAGAACTATAAATATAATCCTACTAAAACAAGAATTAAGAACTCCTAATTTTTAAGGAAACGAAATCCTAAACTTGAAGGAAAAGAAATCCTAATCTTGAATGGATTCTTGGACTTCTGCAATTTCTTAAGATTCTTGAGCCTTAATTGGACTAGGTCTAATTAGTGTAACTATTTTAAATTCGTGGCTCAATTTTCCAAATCAATTGGCATCTTCGTGAGCCTAATAAGTCTCCATTGTTGTAGAAAACATGGCCTCTATTTGTGCTTCTCTAGCACCACGATTTGAGCTTGTATGTTCATCATTCTCCCTTAGTTGAAAAGGAGCCGCCTTCGAGTTATAGGAATAGTAGGGAGCAAGATCTACTACATTGAAGATAGGTGATATCTCAAAGTCATCGGGAAGCTCCAAGCGATAAGCATTATCACCAATCTTTTACAACACCTTCTAGGAGTTACGACAAAGTGCATGGCGGTTTCAGTTTGGGAGTTAGAAATGAAGGAGGAACCTCACTATTGGATTTCACTAAAGCCTTCGATTTGGTTGTAGCTAACTCATATTTTCAGAAGAAGGAGGAGCACTTGATCATCTTCCAAAGTAGGTGGCCAAGACCCAGATTGGTTACCTTGAGAAGTCATAAACTGATGAAACTTAGAAGATAAATATTCTAAGGCATTATCATTGTGAAAAGTGCGAATAGAAACACCAAATTGATTTTTGATTTTAGCACAAAAATTCTGGAATATAGAAAACAACTCAGAACGATCTTTCATTAAGAAAAGCCAAGTACATCTTGAATAATCATCAATAAACCTAACAAAATAACGAAATCCCAAGGTTGAACTGACTCTGCTAGGACCCTATATATCAGAATGAACTAAAGAGAAAACAGACTCTGCATGACTCTCAACACTACGTGGAAAGGAGGCTCGGGTATATTTTCCAAGCTGACACGACTCACAATCTAATGTAGACAAACTAGACACCATCTTTTGAAGCTTGGATAAACTCGATTGTCCTAAACGTCTGTGAATTAGATCTGGAGGATCTGTAACTAGACATGCTGTGGAGGGATTGAGTGAGTTAAGGTAGTAAAGGCCTTCTGATTCATGCCCTGTGCCAATCGTCTGTCCCGTATTGCAGTCCTGCATAATAAAAGAATCATCAATAAAATATATACCACAATGGAGGGCACGAGTCAAATGACTAATAGATGCAAGACTAAAAGGACAACCAGGATAAATAACGGAATCTAGAGTGACAGAAGATAGGGGATTAGCTTGTCCAACTTCTTTTGCCTTAGTTTGACACCCATTGGCTAAAGTAACAGTGGGAAGAGACTATGAATATACATTATTCGACAAAAGTGATTTATTACCCGAGATATGATCAGAAGCGCTTGTGTCCGTGATCTATGGTGCAAGAGTACTAGACTGGGAAACACAAGCAAAAGAATGACCAGTAACAGAAGTATCAGTCTGAGCAACTGAGGCTACTCGTGGAGATGTCTGCTTACTTGCTCGATATTGAAGGAACTCATTATATTCTCCTTTANGGGGGGGCGACCATGTAAAGAATATCATACTTCACGAGTGTGTCCAAGTTTATGACAAGAAGAACACTTGAGTCTAGATCTTCCAAAACGACCTCCTCCTCATCTGTTCTCCATAGTTTGAGATGCCCGATTGTCTAGTGTCTGTGATGCGAGAACAGATGAGTCAAGTGTCTGTGATGATATCACTGGATGACTTGGTGCTGTAACGAGGCAAAGTAATCGAGAGAATAATTCATCAACTATGTGGACAGTCGGACTAGCCAAAATCTGGTCATGTACTGAATCAAGATCATTAGGAAGTCCAGCGAGGGTAAGAACTAGAAACATCTTCTGTCGCTGCTCTTGTTGCTTTTCAACACTAGCAAAAACTGGTATCAGCTTCTCAAATTTCTCCATAACTGCCTGTACTTGTCCCAAGTAAGTAGACATACCTAATTCTTGTTTCTCTAAGTTTGTCATCCGCGATATCACATCATAGAAACGAGATATGTCATTAGTGTATAAAGTGCGAGCTTTTTCCCAAACCAAATAACATTTCTGGATTGGACGAAACAAGGGCATCGACTTGGAATCAATACAGAATACTACATAACTGAGCATCGATCTTTCCCAAAGTGCTTTGGCCATTTCATCTATTTCGCTAGACTTTTTGATTAAATGATCTTGAACACCTTGACCTTTACGACTCAACTCGACAGAAGAAGCCCAAGCTAGGTAGGTTGAACTTCCCATTAAAGGTTTTGAGGTAATCATAACACAAGAACTGCTAGAGCCCGTGTTTTTAGACCAACTCCCAAAGACAACATTGGATTGAAGAGAGGTCTATAAAATTATCACCAAATAACATAAATCAATTGAAACTCGAAACAGATGAAAGAGACATTGTATATGCCGGAAAAATTACTGTAGCTGCTGGAAAATCAATGTAGTCACCGAAGAAATCTCAAACTGCTCGGAATTAAAAGAAAACAGTATGGGCCTGGTCGGAATTACTAGACGATGAGACTGTCATGAAGAAACTTTTCCAAAAAGTGGCCGGAACAATGGTCACGCACCGGTGCGTGGGTCTGACGCGCCGCCGGCTCAGAAGTTCTACAAGCGCGTGAGAGCATGTTGCTGTTGTTCTGCCGGTGTGATTTTCTGGGGTTTGCTCGCCTGAGAATTCTGTTCCTGTTGGTGGTGTTATTTTTCATAAAAAACAAAAACAGCCTGAAATTCATTGGAAAAAAGGCACGGTAACTGTCCCGGACTCGCTGGTTACCCCACAATGGGGATCTCACTAGTTGCTCTGATACCATATGAGAAAGCATAAGAAAATATATTATTCATGTGTATTAACTATAATAAGTGTAACAATAAACAATACCTACACTACTCCTATTTCATGTAGGACTATGCTTATTTACTTTACGACTAACTAACTAACTAACCGTGAGGACAATCAACTTGTATATGCCCAAGTCCTCCGCATTTATGGCATTTCTTTTTAAAAATAGTTTCAGAAGTCATGGGCTTCCTTCAATTTCTGGATACTTGGTTTTATTGTAGATGATTGTGGCTTTGTAGAGCTCAAACTAGTACTCCCATGGTTGGAAGTGTTCGGCTTTTGATGGTAATTGATGAAAATGTGGCTTTGGCTTCCCTATGTTGTGTCTCTACGACCTTGGCTAGTTTGACAACATCTCTAAAATTCCAATGGGGCTGCAATCATATCACATTCGCAATAGGCTTATTTAATCCAGTCAAATAACGAGAATTAGGCGAGCTGGTTTTTCCTTAATGTCACTCTTGAGCCTAAGATTTCAAATTCTCTTGTGTATTCATCCACGGATAAAGTTCCTTGTCTAAAAGAATGAAACTTCAAGTAAGAATCTTCTTCATATGTCTCTTGCAAGAACTATTTGCACAATTCTCATTTCATTCGCTCCCAAGTGTAAATTCGTGTTTTCCTTCAAGCTCTCGCTCCCTTTTGAGGTTTTCCTACCATAGCGATGCAACAAGCTTGACCTTTTTCTCATCAGAATATTCTTTATAATCAAAAACACACTCAATAGTTATAAGCCAATCAATGAATTCATCACCTTGAGATTTGCCATCATACTCCAGAATGTCAAGCTTCATATCATCACATTGATTCCTCTCTCGATTATTATTGTGTGGTCTTCTCTGATGTCTCCTTCTATCATGTTGATACTGAACTTCGTCAGAGTCATACTCTTCACTACCTTGATTATCAGAGTATTCCGATTATGAGTTTTATCATTGTGAACATGGTGCCTCTGTACTCTTATGCCGTGGTCAGCTATAGCTTCTTCCGCTTGCTCAATGTGTCCCCCTCTACGCGATTGAATTGGTGGATCTCGAAGTGGAAGACGTGGCGGCAGCACTGGTATATTGTGTCTTGGTGGTGGTGGAGGTTGTAGGCGTTGTGGCGGATTTGGTGGCTGGTATTGAATCACCAAACCTTCAACCAATTCAGTCAGATTCTGCATTGATTTCCTCAAGTCATCTAGTTGCACTTTAAAGCTATCTAGCTGCACTTTAATTTCTTCATTGTTTCGTTCGAGAGCGGTAGTTCTTAATCTTTCAATCTGAAGTTGTTCATCAATTGAAAAGGATCCCCAGCTTGTTATTTTCTTGTCTGGCGACATGATGAACAAGATAGCAATTCAACAATTCGGACCTGTAACCTGTGCTCTAATACCAAATTGATGTACGTTCAAGGTTTTGCATCTCTCAAGCACAAAGAAGAGAGAAAACAAAAGCCGCTAAAGTTTTACACAAAACTAGCGACAGCTTCTTCAAGCTCACGTGAGAAGAATGTAAGATGAAAACAACCTTACCCACTCGTTTTTCAATCCCGCAAGATTGCAAGAAGCGTTGAATAAAGGAAGAAGAAATAAACAAACGAGAAATCATGTTTTTGAAGCAAGAGCTTAGAATTACTTTATTGATAAGGCTAAGGAAATAGGCCTTACTTTATAGAATTACTAATCACCAATATTTATTTTCAGCATATTGAGCCCTTTAAATAGGTCTTACAATGAGTAAAATTGATAAGGCTAAGGAAATAGGCCTTACTTTATAGAATTACTAATCACCAATATTTATTTTCAGCATATTGAGCCCTTTAAATAGGTCTTACAATGAGTAAAATTGATAAGGCTAAGGAAAACTAGTCCTAATTAAACTAGAATAAGAATAAGGTTAAGAAAAACCTATCCTAACTAAAATAAGAAAAAGAATTCTAGTAGGAATTGAATACCAACTAACAATCCTAGTTTGACTAGAACTATAAATATAATCCTACTAAAACAAGAATTAAGAAATCCTAATCTTTAAGGAAAAGAAATCCCAATCTTGAATGGATTCTTGGACTTCTTCAATTTCTTGAGATTCTTGGGCCTCAATTGGACTAAGTCTAATTAGTGTATGCATTTTAAATCCGTGGTCCAATTCTCCAAATCCATTGGCACCTTTGTGAGGTCAATAAGCCTCCATTGTTGTAGAAAACATGACCTCCACTTGTACTTCTCTAGCATCACAATTTGAGCTTGTATGTACATCATGCAGGTAGGAATATTTGATGCCACAAATAGCACAAGGGGAAGAAGGAATATGCTTACGGAAATGGCTGAGGGAAAATGCAAGGTAGATTTTAGTAACTTTCTCAAAGTTACCTTTGTAGAAGATTATACTGTATTTAATATGTAGTAGTACTGAGTGCGAAGGCAGAAATTGTTAAGTTCCCGTGATGGATAAATCATAACTTTTGTTATTTGCAGTATCTTCCTCAGTAAATACAAGGTCCTATTTTATATATGGGGTTGCAAGTTGGGTTGGTGGGATAATATCCGAGTCCTCATAGCTATGAAATCAATGTGTTCTTACTGCTCATTTGAGAGGAGTTAGTTGCCTTCTTTTGTTTAGTCAGCAGGATTTCTAGAGAAATATGAAGTCTCTCTCAAGCTTCATGGGTGTCTTTTTAATTCCTTGCCAATAAAGCTCTGCATTGTAGCCATCCCAAGGAATTGCTAGAATTCTTATGATCTCAGTAATTTAATGCTTATGCGCTGCAAAAGCTTTTCTTTTAACATTATTATCATACCATCACAAGATAGGGGTAAGGTCTGCGTATGCACTACCCTCCCCAGGCCCCTCTTGTGGGATTACACTGGTTATGTTGCTGTTGTTGCTGCGCTGCAAAAGCTGTTCTTTTAACATTGCCGTGAATTATCTTATGTGTTTCTCTTTTCTTCGATATGTTAACTTTATTCTACTACTGGCTGGAGACAAGCCACAGGAAAATTTTACTTTGTATGGTGATATTTATTGGTTGATTTGCTTTGTATGTTGATATTTGTTTGTTGGTTTTAATGAATCTTTATATATGGAAGTTTTAGACTTCTATCTGATTGTAATATCCTCTCCTGATGCCTGTTGTTTTTCTACTTGCAGATTATTTTCTTGGAAACAATTTGCAATGATCCTAATATAATAGAAAGAAATATACGTCTAAAAGTTCAACAGAGCCCGGACTATGCCGAAGTGTACAATTCTTATCACTTTGTTTTTCGTATGTTAGTGAAAAATACTCATACACTAGTGGCATTTTTTCAACAGGCCTGATTTTGAAGCTGGTTACAGAGACTTCAAGAGTCGCCTTGATAATTATGAAAAAGTGATATTCTTGATCATAATTAGTATGGTTGTTTTCGTTCTATTTGCAATATTCACTTTAGAATAATATTACGTTGTTTCTTTGTTTTTCAAGGTTTATGAGCCTGTAGAGGAAGGATCTTATATCAAAATGATTGATATGGTTAGTGGCCATGGGGGACAAATACAAGTAAGTGACCTTTTCTCATAATCATAGACTTTGTGGTTCATCTGTATCGTTAAGCAAAGAACGCTTCAAAAGGTTGAAGAAATGTGGTCCCAAATGCTGCATTCTATGTCTAAGGAATTCCGAATTTGATTACACACAATTCAAACTATTTGATTTCTTCATGTTGACTTGATTACTTCAGTAAATGCATCTGTGTGTGTGAGGCTTAGCTTAAGCGACTGTGAGGGAATAAATGAATTCTCTAGGAAATCCCTTTTTTCAGGATAAGTGGCCTGTAGAAACTTCTGTAGGAACTTTTTATAAAGTGACATGATTTTGAAGGATCTCTTCTCGTTTCACAGGTGAATAATATCAGTGGCTATCTACCTGGGCGGATTGTCTTCTTCTTGGTAAGTTGCTGCTTATTCTACAAAGTGTATTCTGTTCTCTTCCAACCTTCTGTTCTCTCTTCAGGCATCTTTTGATTTTGTTGATTAAGTTTTGTTGGCCATGAAATATTTCTATTTAACATTGCTATGGATCTCCATTGTGGACCTCCTCGGTGGACAGAATACAAAAAGGAACTTGCAGAGGCTGCAGATAAATGTGCATCAATAGATAATTAAACCAAATGGATCTATCATTTAGGTCTTAAATATTCAAGATCTGTTCTTGTAGTTGACATCTTTGTAAGAGACACTTTTTAAAGTAAAGCGTTCAGTATGACTCCAAATATCCTTGCGACTTTTGATGTAAGTGATTAATGTTCAGTACAGACTTGTCAATGAAACTTAGCTTCCTTATTACTGCCAGTTACATGGTATGAAATCTTTATATCAGGTGAGGAACGTATACTTATTTTTTCTGTATGTAATGCGGCCTCTTGTTATCCTGAGAAGGCAAGGAAGAAAAGATAGTTTTCTAAAGTTCAGCATTAAAGTTGCAATTTTGCGTATGGTGGTTTGCCTGATCTAGAGATTCTTTTTTTCGCTAAATAATTCGCTTTGTTTTAGAATTTTGTTGAATCCCATTATAGACTTATCTGATATGCAGGTCAATACACATCTTACGCCTCGTCCAATTTTGCTTACAAGGCATGGAGAGAGCCTAGACAATGTTAGAGGCAGAATTGGTGGTGACACTGTATTAAGGTCTCTCTAGAAACACCAAAGATGCTAGTTTTTTTCCCTTACCTTGCATAATCCTATTTACTTTTTATTTGAGATATCAGATGGTAAATATGTACCATTTTACAATCTGCAATGGTACGAAAGCAAATTGTTGACCTTTAATTTGACTTACCTATTTCATTCAATATCGAGTGAGGACCGTGGGAGGGGACTCGGAACACTTCCCAGTTATGATGGGGTTACACCAGGAGTCAGCCCTCAGTCCATTTCTTTTTGCCTCGACGATCGACGCATTGACGTGTCACATACAAGGGGAAGTGCCGTGGTGCATGTTATTTGCAGATGACGTTGTTCTGATTGATGAGACACGAGGCGGTGTTAATGAGAGGTTAGAGGTTTGGAGGAACACTCTGGAGTCTAAAGGTTTCAACTTGAGTAGGACCAAGACAGAATACTTGGAGTGTAAGTTCAGTGGTGCAACCCAGGTAGTGGACAAAGACGTGAGGCTTGATTCACAAGTCATACCAAGGAGAGAGTTTTAAATACCTTAGGTCAGTTATACAAGGGAATGGAGAAATCGATGAGGATGTTACACATTGTATTGGGGTTGCATGGATGAAATGGAGGCTCGCTCCCGGTGTTTTGTGTGATAAGAATGTGCGACCAAAACTTAAAGGTAAGTTCTACAGAGCAGTGGTCAGACCGACTATGTTGTATGAGGCAGAGTGTTGGCCAGTCAAGAACTTCCATGTCCAAAAGATGAAGATGACTGAAATGAGGTTGTTGAGATGCATGTGCGTGCATACCAGAGTAGATAGAATGAGAAATGAAGTTATTCAGGACAAGGTGGGCGTGGCCCTCTGGAGAACAAGATTCGTTCGAGCATGTGAAGAGGAGAGGCACGAATGCACCGGTGAGGAAGTGTGAGAGGTTGGCCCTGAAGGGCCTAAGGAGAGGTAAAGGCAGGCCGGAGAAGTATTGGGAGAGGTGATAGGCAAGATATGACGTTGCTTCAGCTTACTAAGGACATGACCATGGATAGGAAGGTGTAGAGGTTGGAAATTATGATAGAGGGTTAGGACAGGTAGTCGAGCGTTGTCCTTGTCGGTAACAGTAGCTTTAGTACGTGATTTAGTGTTATTTGTGTATTCTCGTATCCCTTGACTTCTGTGATTAGTTGTTATTGCTTTCGTGTCGGCTTTCTGATTGCAGTACCTAGTGTATTTAATTTTGTATTTTTGCTTCGGTTTTCTAATTGGTATGCTTGTTGTTGTTGCCCTTCATTTTACCTATCCTAAGCCGAGAGTCTTCTGAAAACAGTCTCTCTGCCTTCTTGGAGGGATAGGAGTAAGGTTTGCGTACATACTACCTTTCCCGGACTCTACTTGTGGGATTAGACTGGGTTTGTTGTTGTATTTCATTCGATAAATGACCTGCTGCCACTGTGACTTCACCCATTAACTTCTGTTTTGCTTTCTTAATGTACTTGAGAATATTCCCCCCCCACCCCATCCCCACAAAACCCCACCCCTGCCCCAAACCCCGAAATGTTTTTGTATATTATCTTATTTGCTCTGTTTACTTGAGGGGGGTGGGGGTGGCGGCAGAGGGAGAGTAAAAGCAAAAACCATTGGTGGCATAATAAACTTCAAGGTTTAGAAAACAGAATTACGAAGAATAATAGAAGTCGGGTACTCTAAACTAAATCCTTCCATATAACCACAATGTTTCAAAAACCATTACTGGTTCAGAATCTCCGGCAGAGTCTTGAAACGTGACTTTCTCATTTATACCTCCTTTTGTGCTGGATTTGTCATCTGAAACGAGAATTCATCTATATGACACATGATAATTCCTCTGGTATGAGTAATTTGGATTCTAGGCATAAAAAAATGCACTCCATGGCTTTGGACATAGAAAATTCAATTTACCATCTTCCTGTGTGACCTTTTAAGTTCATACATGGTATTGTAAAACTTCGAAGCATTTCATCGGCTGAAGATATCAGTCATTTGTTGACACTAAGGTTTAAGATAGGATAGGAGACTCTTATTGGTGTTTTCAATTTTCATTTATATTGGTACTAAGGAGTTACGTGTGTATTAAGTGTAGAGTCCCAACTTCCTCCAGGCCTCGAAGGTTTAGGTAGTTGTTGGAGATCATTTGCTGCTGTTTCTAGCAATTTGGTGCAAGTTTTTTACTAATGCATTCGATCTTCTTCCGAATCTCAGTTTGATTCTTTCTTGTCAAGTCATGAACTTTAGACTCTTTTATCATATGTTTGCTTATATCACTGACAAACTACTCTAACAGTGAAGCTGGGGAGGTCTATGCGAAGAAGCTTGCCAAATTTGTTGAAAAACGACTGAAAAATGAAAAGGCTGCTTCTGTAAGTTGTACCAATTGATGGTTAATTGCATAAATTTTTTCTTTTTCTTTTTGATTTTGATCTATGCATTTGTCGAAATGTATAAAGTTGAGATTGCCCTACTTTTTTACTATGGGGCATCTTGCAATAAGAGGCGAGGCTGGGAGAATGTTTGTCATTCTAAACATTAAAACAATTGATAAAGCATAGGAGTGACGATCAGTTTCATTTCACCTTGATATATATATATATGGTGGGTGGTTCTCTCTCAGCACAAAATATCACGTTCCTGAGGGTACCTGGTAGTGCTACTCTGCAAAAAAATTGCTAGATAGCTTAAATTTAATTCTATTGCTAGAGAATTTGTATAATATGCTCTCCTTTATTTTTTCATTGGCCTAGATATGGACCAGCACACTGCAAAGAACAGTTTTGACAGCTAGTCCAATTGCTGGATTCCCCAAGGTTAGCTATCATTTGAGTCTTTCCATCCCAACATTAACCTCAGATGATTCTGTTTTATTATGTCCCCGCACTCCTTTGCAGATACAATGGCGAGCCCTTGATGAAATCAATGCTGGTGTATGTGATGGAATGACTTATGAGGAAATAAAGAAAAATATGCCTGAAGAATACGAGTATGCCACAACTATTCTTAACCTTGTATGATGCATTCTTCCCCATTCTCTATGAAAAACGAAGGTAATCAGCAGTTCGAATGTTCATGATTTTGTTGAGACAGTCAACAAACTCGAAACACATACTGAGAAGGAAATAGTACTGCTACCAGTTTATTCCAAAGATGACACTGAAGTTCTAACCACCTAAGATCTTGTACAAAGATCAAGCATTTTAGCGGAGCTGTTTAATTTGAAGGCCTTCGTGTTTGACTTGCAAATCAAAGATATTAATATTGTGATTGGCTTGGGAGGTTGTAGTATCTTGTCACTCACTTATTGACAAAAATTACACACCTCTGACAGGCCATTGCTCGAGTAAATATAAACTTTTCTGATTTCTCATGTTACTTGTGGTCTAGTGAGAGTGAGTGAACACTACTTAAGCCAATGGTTAATATGGGATAATACTTAAAAACCTCAACTACCAGTTTAAAGGAATTTAAGTGGAAAAGTGGAAGAAACAGAACGAAGAAGGTAGATTATACTGGGAAATATCACCTATGAGTCATCTGTATCTCTTCTCTGCTGCAAGGCAATTAAACTGTGACGCAGATTCGTACCAGCAAGACGGAAATAGTTGCCATTATTTTGCAACTGTGGCTTATGTTCAAGTTTTGGTTCAAGAATAACTCTCTATAGAGTCAGTTTTGTGCTACCGAGTCTGTCTCACATCTTTAGAATACTCCATAAAGAGAAGAACCAAAAACAGTGGAGAGAATGAGGGCCGGGTGTTACCTATGAGCATCTTTATCACTTCTCTGCTGAAAACAGTAAATAATGAAGCAGGTTTTGTACTAGCAGGAGAAGATGGTCGCCATTATTGATCTGACTGTGGTGTAATCTCATTTTCTTAGTTAAAAGTTAATCCTCTGTCGATTGGTCTTGTGAGAGCAAGTTTCCTTTGCTCTTATAGGGTACTCATTTTTGTGGTCCGCTCTTCCTCTTCATATTCACTGTTGAAGTTGTCTGTTTCTATATTTTGAGTGGAAATGTTGGGGGATGAGTCGAGTCCATTCTCTTGTAGTGATACTATTTATGTCATTTTCTTCCTTTTTACTTATTACAATTTACAGGTCACGTAAAAATGACAAGCTGAGGTATAGATACCCCCGAGGCGAGTCTTACCTTGATGTCATACAGAGGTTTATTGTCAGAATGCTTTCAGTTAAACAAACTTTAGAACTCACAATTGCATTCTATTGAGATTCAACATGCTGCAGGTTGGAGCCAGTGATTATAGAGCTTGAAAGGCAGAGAGCACCCGTGGTAGTGATATCACATCAGGTGGCAAAAGTTTCAATAACATGAAATGTTTTCCTCTGCAGTGTGCGGGTACCGCATTTGCTGGAACCAGTAACATGTTTCATTCTAAGTTTTCTTGTAGGCGGTATTGAGGGCTTTGTATGCTTATTTTGCTGATAGGCCTTTGAACGAAATTCCACATATAGAGGTAATTCCTTTAATAATACAGTAACTACTTCTATGTTGCATTTCCATGTGAAGCAATTAATGAATATGATTGTTAATTTGTTACCAAAAAGAACATGGATGTATATCTGTTTACATCCTTGCTCTTTTTGGTAGTTAAAAGTGTAGTGTTAATGTCATATATAATTGTTTTCAGAAACATAAATGAAAGATGCTGAATATGGTTAGTTAACCCTTCCCATATAGAAAAACTACACCTTAGTGTTTTTTAAGCAGGGGTGTACCCAAGGGGAGGGGTATGGGTTCACCTGAATCCCATGCTCTTCTCCTTAAATCATGTATAACAATGTTATATTTTTTCAAAATTAGTTAAATATATATGTGTGCACCCAAGCTTAAAGAGTTCTATGGTACAATGAGTATTGGGTGCACTTTTACAAGTGAAAGTCGGGGTTCCAAATTCCACGTCTATCTTATATTTTTTCCTTTCTTTTTCTAGAATTGAATTTGGAGGTTCAAATTCTCAAGTCTATCTTATTAGTTTTTCCTTTCTTTTTTTAGAATTGGATCCACCTGTGGGGATGAACATATCTTATATCCCCTCGTGAGTTTTTAAAGTACTTTTTTTCTTTTTCTTTCTTTGTTTGGTTTACTCTTTTCTCTGACACATTGAAATCTGTATTTTTCTTTTGTCATCACCGTTATATTTTGTAAAAATAAATCGAAGGTCTATAAAAAAGTTAGCTGCTATGGTGGAGGATGTAGCATACCATGAATAGGTTCAACCGATCCCGATATTATTGATACGGAGATGGATACATATGTGAAGGAACTATTAAAATTACAATTAAAAAAAAAACCTAGAATTTCAAAAGTGTAATGACTAATGAATTCATGGTAAGAACCTAAATATTAAACCCATTAAATGTAGATCATGGACTCACCTCTTCGTAATGGTGCACCTATTTTCTCAAACTCTTAGATACGCCTCTGTTTTTAAGTGAATGGTAGCTAAGGAACTGATAGGATTTTAACAGAAATCTTGAACATAAATCTACCCTTAGCTTTTTTTTCCCTTTCCAAGATCGTGAAATGTTTAATACTAAGGAGTCATTTGGTAGGGTGTATAATAATAATACTGAATAGGATGTATTACTAATGTTGGGACTAGTAATTCTGTGATTAATTATGTTGGGATCATTGTTTATTGATTGTTCGGTTTGGTATATTAGAAATACCATGCATTGCATAGGGTGTTTCACATGCTTATCCATGTATTAAAAATCCGGTTTGATACGTATAAGAATAGTATTGAATACTTGTTTTAATTATACATGGTTTGAAAAACACTACCAAAGAAGGAAATAATAATATCAAAGCTAATACATGTATTATTTTCCTTAATACATCCTATCCAACGCCCCCTAAGGGCTAGCTGATAATTGTACCATTCTCATCATTGATACCAATGTGGAAAGTATCCTAAGCTTTTGAACTGGAATCGTCTCTTGATTATATTTTGTGGTTATTCATTTCCCTGGTCCATTTTGCTCGGTGAAACCGAGTTTTCTAGCAACGGCTCATCATTATTAATATATCGCTAAGCTATTTGCTTTCCTGGTCTCGTATTGCATCAGACTTTTAATGCTCTACTAAAATTCCAGATGCCACTTCACACGATCATAGAGATACAAATGGGAGTTACTGGAGTCCACGAGAAGAGATACAAGCTGATGTAGATTATTGCTGTTACTTTACTAGCATTTTTTTTTTGGTTAAAATAAAATTTTTATTTCACCAAGTAATGACTTTACATGCATCTAACTCATTTGGACTATTGAGTTAGTTTCTCAATATTTACAACCATTTCTATACTTGCCTAGACTGGGTACCAATTCAACCTATCTAATACACTTTTCCATTTACCATTATTTTGACCTTTAATATGTAACTGTATGGCTATATCTCTTGTTCTCTCTCTGACTTCTTGCTTCTTCAATTGAAACCGTCTAGCATTTCTTTCACCCCATATATGATAGACTGTAGCTGCAAAGAGGAATCCCAATATGTATGTCCATGGTCTGGTGCTAACTTTGCTTGCCACCCATTGCACTTCTTCCTGCCAGTTCCCTATCCTTCTCTGTATGCCTAGTCAGCCCAATTAAGAACTCCACATATGTTGTGAGTAAGTACATTTAAATAACATATGCTCCAATGTTTCATCTCTTCCAGTTGTGCACAGTACACACCTTTTGTCAACTTGGGTTCCCCATCTCTCTAGCCTGTCCACAGTAGCCAATCTATTTTGTATTGCTAGCCATAAGATAAATTGATGCCTGGGAATAATGCTTTGTATTAGTACTGCTTTCTTCCATTCTACTTTCTGAAACTGTGGAGTAAAAAATTTGTATGCTTTCTTGATGCTGAACTTCCCTTGTGATTCACAGCTTCTTAGGATTGTTGCAGGATTCCCATAATTCTCTAACCATTTTCTTGCCTCCAATATTTTCCTAACTAGCCAGCTTGCTTGTTTAGGAATAGGACAATCTGATATAGTCTTCTGCTTTATGTAAAAACAGTGAATCCATTTCACCCATAGACTGTCTTTCTTCTGGTTGACAGCCCACAACAGTTTGCGAATTGCTGACTTATTCCATCTGTAGAAATCAAGTATGTTCAGGCCTCCAACTGCTCTAGGCATGCATAGTTTCTCCCAAGCAACTAGAGCTTTTCTAGACACCTCATTTGTACCTGTCCAAAGAAATATTCTACTTATACTGGTCACCATATTGATGATCTTCTTAGGCAGCAAGAAGATCTGAGCCCACTATGTCTGCATCTCGAACATGATACTTTTTATTAGTTGCAACCTTCCACTGTATGATAATAGTTTGGTTGACCAACATCTAACTCTTGTAATCATCTTCTCTACTAGGGCTAGACACTGATTAACTGTAAGCTTCCTTGAAGATAAAGGGACACCTAGGTACCTGAATGGAATTTCATCAGTAGCAAATCCCATCTCTTGTATAATCTGGTGTTTGAATTCATTAGGCACCCGTGCCATATACAATGAACTCTTCTCCATATTGGCTTTAAGCCCAGACACTTCAGAAAAATGATTAAAAGCATGCAGCATCAACTGGATTGAAATTTTGTCTGCCCTGCAACATAATAACAGATCTTCTGCAAAACATATATGAATTAGGTTGAGCTTTGAACGTCTGGGGTGATAGTTAAAGTCAGGATTAGCATTCAACTACTTCAAGGTTCTGTTCAAGTTCTCCATTGCCAATACAAACAAGTAGGGTGACATTGGGTCCCCTTGTCTGAGCCCTTTTTTTGCTTGGAATCTGGTAGTCAGTCCTCCATTGATCAACAAGGCATAACTGACAATTGAAACACAAGTCATTATCCAATTTACCATCTTCACAGGAAAACCAAATTCAAGCAACACCATCTGTAAAAAGTTCCACTCCACTGAATCATAGGCTTTTCTAATGTCAATCTTTACCATACATCTAGGTGACACCCCTTTTCTAGAATATCCTTTCACCAATTCATGAGCTACTATGACATTGTCTAGTATACTCCTTCCTTCAATAAAAGCTGACTGAGATGGACCTACTATCATATCCACCACTGTCTTCAACCTTTCAGTTAATATTTTAGCAATAGTCTTGTATATAGTTGAACAACAAGCTATTGGTCTAAAATCTTTAACCAAGGTGGGAGTTGGAACTTTAGGAACCAGGGTTATAGTAGTACAGTTAATTTCTTTCAAAATCTAGCCATTCTCAAAGAATTGCATAACTGTTGTTATTATGTCTTCCCCAATAATATTCCAGTTTGCTTTAAAGAACTTAGCTGGGAAGCCATCAATTCCTGGAGCTTTATCATTGGGAAGGTTTTGAACAATTTGACTTACCTCCTCTCTAGTAATAGGCTTAATCAAATCTTTCTGTTGGTCAATAGTTAAGCATGGGCCATTCCTTGCAATAGTTGTATCAATACAAGGCAACTCCTCAGCAGCAGTACCCAATAGCTTCCTAAAGAACTGAAGAAATTCTTGCTGAATTAGTTTTGGATCCGTGATTAGAACTCCTTGTTCATTCTGTATAGTAGAGATCTTGTTCCTTGCCTGTCTAGCTTTCATATGAGCATGAAAGAATCTGGTGTTTGAGTCCCCTGAGGAAATCCATGTAGCTCTGGATTTCTGTCGAAGGACTCTTTCATGAATAGTGCCCCATTTCTCCATCTCTATTAGTATCTCTTTCTCTTCATTGATCAGGCTACTGTTAAACAAATCTTCTGCTAAATTGTCTTGAATTTTCCCAAATTTGTGCTTCAAATTCATTATCCTGCCTTCTAATGATGAGTATTCTTTATTCAGCTGTTTAGTCTATGCTTCCACCAGCTTCAACTTCTGCCACACTCCATACATACAATGCCCCTCAATATTCTGTTGCCACACATTATGAACAATTGCCTTGAAAGAATCCTGTTGTAATAGGACATTTAGCAGTCTGAATGGCTTCTTAAGGTATTTTTTAGCTATCACAGTGTTAATCACAATGGGAGAGTGATCTGAACACTCAGGATTCAGATAGTTGGCTTCAATACTACTATAAGTTTGTAATCATTCAGCATTACCAAACACCCAATCAATATGACTATATATCCTTTCATTCTCATCTCTTTGGTTGCACCAGGAAAACTGCCACCCTTTTTTAGTCACCTGTCCCACTCCCAAATCTGCGATGCAATTCTGGAAGTCCACAGTCTCAGCAGGATGAATTGGTACACCATTAACTCTATCATCACTAAACAGTATAGTATTAAAGTCTCCCAATAGGATCCAAGGTCCATTTATAGAACCTTTAATGTTCCTTAGTTGATCCCACAATGATTTTCTCCCAGCAATAGTATTGTAACCATACACATATGTCAATTCACAATTGAATTGAGATTGTCTATCCTCAATAAAACAGTGAATCAACTGTGCAGTACTATATCTAATATTCACAGCAACTGAAGCTCTCCTCCATCCAACCCATATTCTTCCATTAGGGGCATGAGTATAGTCTGTATAGAACTCCCAATCATTTCCAAACTTTCCGATAACTTTTACAGCTTTATGTTGTTTAACTCTAGACTCAAGGCAACCAATCAGATCTATCTTTTTCCCAAGCAAAAGTCCTTGAATTCTTTTTGCTTGTGGGCTTTATTAAGCCCTCTAATATTCTAGGAACAAAAAATCATGGAGGTTGTTTCTTAGCAAGTCTCTGACTTACTCTCTTTTCAACTGCTTCTTCATAACATCTCAAGGCTGAGTATTGGTTTAGCCCTAGGGTTTCCTCTGAATCACTATCCAAATCTTCCTCCTGGTGACACTGATCCTCATGCTGATTTCCCTGCCTTTGTCCTTGAAACACTACTATCTGCTTTCCACTTCTTTGAACTTGCACTTTGGTAGGGAACTATGATCTTCCTCAACTGCAATAGGATCTTGTGGCTTGATATTTGGTTTGATCTGCTTAACCTTCCATTCCTTCTTCTCCTGTGCTGGCTTCTGCTTCCCTTTTTTCTGATCTTTCTGCTGGACATTTTGTTCCTGCTGATCCTCTTTTCCACAACTTTCAGTGAAATGCCCAAAATGTGCACAGTTTTGACAGAATCTAGGCTTCTTTTTCTTAGTCTATATCTTGCTCCCATATGGTTCCATCAGATTTTTCAATAGTTATCACCTCTGGAAGTTGCTGAGTTATGTCCATATCAATGAGGACTCTAGCATATGATATCCTATCTCCTGTTGCTGTCAATTTATTAGTACATATTGGCCGACCTAGATAGCTAGCCAATCTGCCCAAATTATCCTCAGTCCAGCATTGAAGAGGTAGCTTAGCGAATGATACCCATAGTGGAACAAGTCGCATAGGCTCCTTGTTCATTTTGAAATCTGGTATCCATTCCTTTAAGATCATCGGCCTACTATTGAAAGTATATGGTCCATTCTGAAGCAATAAGTTCTTATCATCCTCCGATTCAAATTTGAATATGAAGTATCCATGAAGGAATACTCTGGGAGTTGACACAAATTGCCAAACTCCATACACAAATTGTAGCATCTCTTTGAAACTAGGCATACCTCCTAATACATAGCCAATCAAAGCATTTCTCCATTGTCTACTCTGTTTCTCCATCTCGATCTCATTTAATTGCACTACTTTAACTCCATTTTTTATGATTGGAGGGAAAAACTTCAATTGCATACCTAGATGTTGAGCTCGATTGTTTTTCACCACATCCGCCATAGTAGGACCTTTAGCTTCAGAGTTTCCTTTGATCGGACTTGGTACAGCTTGTTCCTCAGGGAAATTCAGTCTTCGAACAGTAGCATTAGTTGATTCCTCCTTCTGTAACATCACTGGCATCGTCGTTTCCTGTTGCATGCAGCTTGATCCTTCTCCAGTCGTTACCCAATTACTCAGTTGCAGTGGTTCCATAGCTTGAGGGACCCCTGACTGTGGAGTAATGACCCTCATATCACCATCTACCTTCATCATAGCAGTTGGAGCTTTGCCTGCCTGCCGTTTCCGGCGCGGCATCGTTGATAGAGCACGTTAGCAAACCTCTGCTTAACCTGCGCCTTCAAAGCAAACTTAACCGCTAGAGAGAGAAAGTAATTTTATCTCACAAAATTACTACTAGCTTTGAGAAAGCGATTTTCTAGTTGATGACAAAGAAATTCTTTTAAAAATGACGAGAGTATGACATCAGAGGACATCCTTTTGGGCAGGCATCTTCTTTCTCTCTCTCTCTCGCAATTACATCCTCATTTTTTTTTTTTTTTTATGATTTCGATATGGCTTCTGAAACACTTGCCGTTTAGCTAGTGTGTTTTGATATTGTCCATTTTACGTCTGATGCCAAAGCTTAAAGACAATGAATAGGTGTGGAATTTTCACTAGATATCCGCTTTTGCATATCTTATATAAACTATAGCCACTTTTTTCAAAGTTTTCAAACTTTACCACATGGTGAATTATAAAGAGCTAACAATTCTTTTGGAACATTGGAAATAGAATACAGAAATCTAATATGTGCTTTTGGAGAAAGGGTCTGCCTTCTACAGGGTTATTGCTATTTTTGCATTAAGAAGAATTATAGTTATGAGTGTGAAAATTGAAAGTAGGAATTGATTCACGTGCACTTGAAATTTTTGAGAAATTAACTATAGCCTACATATGTTGCAAGCTCTTCATGATTTGGTATGTGAATTATGACAAGTGGGCTTGCCAGTTCACAATTTTAGAACTTTAAGTAGAAGTTTCACAGTAGTTCTCAAAATCAATTTTGCGTCCCTAAATTTTGATTTTAACATGTCCGAAACATGCTCAAATCTGTTCTTTTCATTTGAGAAATACTCATCGACTACCAAAAAAGATGAAAAAACTACCCTAGAAGCCCGTGGTGATTGCACTTTTGCAAGAATATGATCAAAAGAAAAAACCTTAAAACCATTTGAGAAACCTATGATAGGCCATGCACCACATTAGCTTTAACTTTTTAGTATCTTTGAGAATTTTTTTCAATGAGCTTCTTATGATTTAAGTTTAATTTGCTAGGCAACTTTCAAATGACATTTGTTTAATATACAACAAACCTATACCTTCTGTATACGGGTGAAATCGGAGTTAAGGGCGCACCCTATTTCCCGGTGTATCAAACAGAGTAAGAGTATATGAGATCGAAATCGAAGCCAGGAACTTTTTGTAGCAAGGCCCAAACGGAATGCTCGCCATCGGACCTGATAATGCAACACCCCCTGAATCCAGAATGAGCTCCACGACTTTGGAAAACATGGCAAACGATTGCACACCACTAACAGATGGCCGTGATACCCGTACCCAACCGGATATCACGGTGCGGATCTCGCCCGATGTCGGTAGTGGATTAGTAATTAACGAGAAAGGAGGATTTTTACCTTTTTTAGAAATATACTAGAGATGAAACTCTCTTATTATATAAAGAGAAAGTTTCAATAAGACACTGTAACACGCATACCAATGCATTACAATTTTATTTCTCTGCTTTTTAGCTATTGCAAATTCTTTATTTTACTTTTGTTCTTTGTTTTTGATTGAATTTGAGCCAAGGGCCCTGCTGATGGCAGAAACTATTGCCCAATCCAAGTCCAAGTTAGGCCATTATGTTACGACTGACTTGATTCATTGTGTCTTTAATTCATTTATTTAATATTCTTGATTATCCATGTTGAATCTATCTGCATATCCTTAAAATCGCGTACAAATTTAATTACTATTCGTTTTAAGAGTAAACAGTTTGGCGCCCACCGTGGGGCAAAAGATAATAGTGGTGGTTTGATACAATCTCCATAACACACTCTATTTTGCGCTTGTTCTTTAGTCTCAATTTCAGGTCACCTAAAAAATTTCAAACTCTCAGTCTGCCCACTTGAGCGTTGGGGTTGAGTCTAGCCATCATGGCGAAAACAACAATCTGGTGCCTACCAACGAAGTGCCTGGTAAACGGCTAAAAATGCATATTTTTCTGTGTACTTTCATCTCATAACTTGTGTGATTACGAGCGATTATATGATTTTTTGTAGTGAATTATACTCATTACGTGCACTCTTATGTATAGGAGCAAGTTGGATGAAAGATGAGCAAAAGACGTTGATTTGGGACCAAAAGACAAGAGAAGTACTTCGTTCGTTCACTCTCGCGTGCACACAAGAGAGTGAACGAGCTAGCTGACGAAAAGCTTGAAAAAAGCACCGAACTAAGCTAAAAAGTAATGGAAGTGCACAGGAGACTTGGGAGGCAAAGAAAAAGAGAAGTACTTCGCTCGTTCACTCTCGCATGCGCACGAGAAAGTGAACGCTAACCTGAAAAGTGTTTTTCAAAGTTGGCTTGTATTATTTCGCCCCATGCTACCTCTATCTCATATAAATAGTCTTTAAACTCACTTTTGAAGGGAGGATTCGACCTAAGGAGGGGAATCGGCCTAAGGAGCAAAGCGGAGAATTCTTCTACGAGTTTTTCACTTTCTTCTTCCTATTTTCATTATTGGTTATGAATTGTAGTATTGTAGTTTTGCATATTAATATGAATAACTAATTTGTTATCTAGGGTTTTGATGAAACCTTTTGTAGGATGAATTCTTGATATGTTTTGATATAAGTGAGTCTTTGAATTTTTCTATTTGTTCAACTACGTGGTTATTTTAGTTAATTGAAGAGCTCTCAATTAACAGTGCCTATTTATTATGTATTGCTTGGAAAAAGAGTACATATTTAGGTGGTTGTTGAACAACGTCACTCCTAACGTATATGAGATATCAATGCGGTGGGTTTAAAAGCGAGATTAGAGATAACGAAGCTTTACGTGATCATAATAAGCAGTGAAAAGGTGTGAGCTAGCGTAATTCGAGATAATACGACTAGTACATTATTGTAGTTGTTCGAGAGAGAATTACGATAAGTCGAGTGCTCATGATCAGTAGAGAATAATTAAGCAATATTATAGAATACGTCGTGGGAAGGATTCCGATAACTCGAGAAATCATAACTCTAGACATCCTTAATCTCGTCTCCAACCCTTAGTAATTTTAATTAATAATTTATTACTTTAATTTGTTAGTTAATTAGTTAAACTAAGAATCTTAATATTTCTAACTTAGGAATTGTTCGAGCTTGTCTTCTTAGTGATAATGAACAATTGTAGCTAAACCTTAGTTCTTTGTGGGATTCGACTCTGGACTCTTAGACCGAATTATATTTACAGCGACCGCTTATCCTTTTTAGGACTAGAGTTGGGCGTGACCATTGCCCCCTACTGACCTTAACGGAGTCCCAGTTTCTGATCCAGTCGACGCCAATCCGCAGGTTGCTATCGATGTCAACCTTCCAACTGACCTCGAAAATAGCATTCGCGGAGGCCCCCGACCAACAATTCGAGAAACGCCCGAAGGCAAAGGTGATGGAATAAGCCTGCGGCTAATCTTCAAAATGCTGCAAGCTCAACAGACAACGATAATATAGCTACAAAATCAAGGCTACACCCCTGGCACGACCAGTCGCAGGAGAACACCCAAAGAGACGAACAAACCACCGAGAGCTCGGGTGAAGTTCAGACTGGGGTCAACCCCTAGATAATGAAAATGCTTGAAGCATTGAAAAAACAGGTGGAATCAGGAGAGAAGAAAATTGAGGCCAACGACAAGAAGGTAGAGACAAACAATTCCAGGGTCGATCAAATCCTGGGAGCACCCCATATTTAAAGGATCGGATTCCAAGAAGTTTATCCAAAAGTCTTTCCCTTCGAGCACTGCACCGAAGCTGATCCTGAAGAGGTTTCATATGCCTGATATTCAAAAGTACAACGGAACCACGGACCTAAAGGAGCATGTGACCTCCTATACATGTGTCATCAAGGGGAATGACTTGGAATATGACAAAATCGAGTCAATGTTGCTAAAGAAGTTCGGGTAAACTCTATCTAAAGGAGCAATGATATGGTATCACAATTTACCCCCAAATTTTATTGATTCGTTTGCTATACTTGCAGATGCTTTTTTGAAGGCCCATGTCGGGGCCGTCAAGGTCAAAACCAGAAAATCGGACCTTTTCAAGGTTAAACAAAAAGATAACGAGATGATTAAGGAGTTCGTGTCGAGGTTCCAAATGAAACGGATGGACCTGCCTCCAGTTGTCGATAATTGGTCCAATCAGGCGTTCACTCAAGGACCTAAGCCCCCAAGCTCTTGGCTTCACAACAGCTAAAACAAAATTTGGTAGAGTACCCAGCGGTAACTTGGGCCGACGTCTATAATAGATAACAGTCAATAATCAGAGTCGAGGATGACTAACTCGGAGCCCCTTCTGGGTCCATTTATCCCATTAGAGTCGACGACAGGTCTAAGAGTGTCATCAATCATGAATCGAGACCGATCCAAGACCGATGTTGACCATAGAGCAGAGATAGAAAGGGAAATGGGTCCGGGCGTCACCTCACGAGGAATGAAAAGGAAGCGATCAAGGGTCCAATAGATGAGGACTGATGTGCAAAAATGGTTTTGACAGGCTGCACCGGATCAGGGAAGCACCAAAGATTTTTAGAATATAACTTCAACGTTGATGCTTCCAGCATCGTGCAAGCCATCGGACGCATCAACAAGTGTCCTCGACCATTGCAATCCGACCCTACCACGAGGGACCCTAACTTGGTGTGTAAGTATCATGGAAATCATGCCTACAGGACCGAGGATTGTCGGCAATTAAGAGAAGAAGTTACCCGGTTGTTTAGTAATGGGCACCTACGAGAATTTCTGAGTGACCGAGCCAAAAACCACTTCAGAAATAGGGACGCCAACAAAAAGACCGTGCAAGAGGAACCTTAGCACATCATCAACATAATCATTGGAGGGGTTGATGCCCCTCAAGGGCCAATGATAAAATGCACTAAAGCATTCATCACGGGGGAAAAGTACACCCGAGACTACGTCCCAGAAGGAACCATTTCATCCAGCAATGAGGATGCCGAGGGAATCGTGCAACCTCATAATGATGCACTAGTAATATCCGTACTTATCAATAAATCTCGAGTAATATGTGTTTTGATTGATCCAGGTAGCTCGACCAATATCATCAGATCGAGGGCCATAGAGCCATTTGGGGTTACAGGATCAAATAGTGCCAACAGTACGGGTGTCGAACGGATTTAACATGGCATGCTAAACCACTAAAGGGGAGATAACCCTACCGATAAACATCGCCGGTATGATCCAAGAAATAAAGTTCTATGTGATCGAAGGAGACATGTGATATAGCACTCTATTCGGAAGACCATGAGTTCACAACATGAGGGCAGTACCTTCTACCTTACACTAGGCGTAGAAATTTCCTACACCGGGAGGAATCAAGATGGTCTATAGGGAACAACTAACTGCAAAGGAGATGTTCACAGTCGACGAAGTACTCACAGTGCCCACCGTCTCAAAGATCACAGAGTCGACCAGAAAAGCCGAAGTTAAATAGCAACCACCATTGCCATCCCCGGCTAGAGCGGAGGAACGGGGAGTGGACGAGGAGGATGATTACGGAGTTCCAAGATCGTTCATAGCCCTTGATGATACCGACGCCACCAAATCGACAGTCGAAGAGTTGGAGCAGGTCACATTGGTCAAACATGTACCAGATCGAAAGATATACCCGGGCACGGGGTTAACCCCCGAGCTCAGGAAAAACTCATCAAATTCCGTAAATCTAACATATATTGTTTGCTTGGTCCCATCTTGACATGACAGGGATCCGCGGGAAGTAACCACTCCTAAGCTGAGTATGGACCCGAAGTTCCATCTGATTAAGCAGAAAAAAGAGACAATAGCCCGAGAACAAACATGCATTCATCAAGGATGAGGTATTTAAACTCCGTAAAATAGGATCTATGGTGGAGGTTAAGTACCAGAATTGATTAGCTAACGTAGTAGTGCCTAAAAAGGAAATAACCTAAGAATGTGTGTAGATTACAAAGATCTAAACAAGGCATGCCCCAAGGATTCTTTCTTTTGCCTAACATCGATTGCATGATCGATACGACAGCCGGACACAAAATACTCAATTTTCTCTATGCCTATTCCGGGTACAACCAAATTCGGATGGACCCGAGCTATCAAGAAAAGACTTCTTTTATCACTAAATTCGGTATCTACTGTTATAATGTAATGCCTTCGGATTAAAAAATGTCGGTGCCACCTATTAATGCCTAGTAAACCGGATGTTTGAAGAATAGATAGGGAAATCAATGGAAGTTTATATTGGTGACATGTTAGTCGAGTCCCTACGAGCAGAGGACCATTTGAAACATTTGCAAGAGACCTTCGACATATTGAAAAGATACAACATGAAGCTGAGCTCGGAGAAGTGCGCATTTGGGGTCAGATCGGGAAAATTTCTCGAGTTCATGGT